CTCATTCAGGTCTCTGTGGTTCCCAGAGGTGCTTTTTTCCAAAAGGCAACAGGTCTTTTCTTGAAAGCCCTTCGCTTCTCATCCAAGAAGCTTCTCCAGTACTTCAGAAACGTTTTCAAGAAAAAAAACCAACCCTAAAAAAGTCCAATTGCCTTTGGAAAAGCACCTTTGGGACCTTGTCTTCTCCCAAACAAGTCACTTCCTACATTCCTGCAGGTTTGGAGGCCAGGTGACGGTCCTCACCCCCACTTGGTTGGTTAGGGAGGCCTTCTTCCTTCTGCTCCTTGGCTGCGTGGCTGCAATGGGGAGACGGACCCTCCTATCCTCTCTCTTCCTCCGGCTTCTGCTAGGGAAAACCCCAGGTAGCATCCTTGCAAGGTTGGTCACCTCCTCCATGAAGAGAGCAGAAGGCACAGCTGGCCCGCTTTGCATGGGGAGCACCGGTGGTCCTTGGGGTGGGGGGGATTTGCAAGGCGATGCCTGCCATCCCGCCTGCCTCCCAGTCGATAGTTTCATAGGCAAATGGATGGAGATGCATGGAATGGAAGAGAGATTGTGGAATTAATTTTCAGGCAGCTGGCCACCGCTCTGGAGGGGAACGCAATCAACTAATTTTCCCTGACTGCCCTGACAGTTCCCGTAATGGAATATTAACAGCTTTGCATCTAATTACTTGCAAAACCCATCTCACTCCCTCGCGCCTGCGCACCTGAGCTCTTTCAGAGTTTCTCTGCTGCTCCCAATTCATTATTTTCTTCCTTAGCATAATTTTAAGTACCAAAACAAAAAATATAAAAAAAGTGTGGCTGGAAATTTCGAGCCTTAAACCTTTGCTATGTTTTCTCCTCCTGGGACAGACCTGGGAGCCTCTGATTTGCCCGTTTAAAAACTCCACATCCCTGCTGGGTATCTGTTTGCTATGACCGGTTCAGAGAGGCACCAGAAGCATTTTGGCTGGTGGTCAACAGCTGGACAAACCCAGCAGAGGATCCTGTTCTTAATTTGGGTGCCTTGAGACTTCTCCCAGCCATCCCTCACTGTCAACATCCTGCCAGCTTAATTTATTGCCAAAGAAAGCTCCCAAAAGGATGACTAACTTTTATGGGTTTGCCCTGATGCAAACAGTGAGCAAATGAGGTGCCTATCCTTTTATCTCCGTCCCGGGGAAAACCTTGAAATGTGTCACTTCTGGATACTCCCAGGCTTTAAAACTCAATTAACGGCATCGTTAATTTAAACCTTGCTTTTCCCATTAAATAATGTCACTTTTCAGCTTTGACAGGGCCCAGGGTGGAAGCTTGGCTGGCAGACCAGATGATACAACCCAAACGAGGAGAGGAACGGGTGGGGGGGGGGAAGAAAAAGCATAAAAGCAAACTTTGTCTAAAAGCAAGCTAGCCAATTAGGAGGGGAAGCAGGTCTCCCAGCCAGAGAGCTGTTGAAGCTCAAATTGGACCAGCACTGCAGGACTGGCATTCCTCCCCATCTCCATCTCCATAAGCTCTCCAGAGTGAGGGGTGTCCTCTAGACACTCCAGCTTCCCCTACTACGTTACATCTGCCTGTACAGTTCTGCAGGTTTGGGTAAAACAGAACCCACAAATCTGAAAACATCTGCGGAAGCCAAGGGTTTAAAATAGAAGGGGGGGGTGCTGGAGGTCAGGACAATTTGAGCAAGTACACAAATCCCTTTGACGTCGTCGAAGAGGACCCGGGAGAAGTCAGAGAGAAAACCAGGACAGCCTGCCTGAAAATAGTTTGCCCTGGAAGGTTGCTCTCCGTGGGGCCTCGAAAAAGATTGTAGGCTGGCTCAGCCATCAGTTAATGGCCAGGGTTGTTAGGAAACAAATTACGGTTTTCATATTTTTTTTCCGAAGGCTGGAATAATTTCTATTGCGTTATTAGAATAACAGGGCTAGAAGGGACTTTGGAGGCCTTGCAGCCAACCCCCGTCCAAGGCAGGAGTCCTTATAGTAACCCAGACCAATGGCTGTCCAGTCTCTTCTTGAAAACCTCCAGTGATGGAGCACCCACAATTTCTGGGGATTAATTGTTCTCACTATCAGGAGATTTCTCTTCATTCTAGGTAGGATTTCCATTTGATGAGGAAGGTTGCTTCCCCCCCCCCTCCAACGAAGACACGGGATTTCGTTGGACGAGGACGCAGGCTTTCGTAGCTTAGCATCTTCAGGTTCCCACCGTGTCATACAAGGTGGCAGGTCTTCTCAGTATTTCAGCCGCCGTCATGAGGAAGGGACACTGAAACGCTTCCTGATGCTCAAATGACAGGCCGACGTCTAATGTCTTTAGGGCTATGAGAACCAAGTCTAGGATGTTCAACCAATGACCTATGATGCCCTTTCTATTCTTACTCCAGGTTTTCTCCACCTGCCAGACAAGTACTCTGCCTGCATGTATGTGTCTTTGTTCGCAGATGGAGCCATGGCACGGTTCCAGCAGTTTTCCAGAAAAAAAGGGGCTGTTTTTCAAAACAGTAAAAAAAAGGTGAGAATGGCTGGATTCACACGTAAACAGGTCACGGATGCCCGAATCAACCCCCCCACTACATCATCTGGGTCCAGCCTATCCTACCTTCAGTTCAACCCCTCTGTTTAAAAATCTGGGCTTGCGTTAGGGCCCCAAAGTTTCGCAGCTCGGTTGTTGCCGAAGTCGTATCCCCGCCAAAGCGAGCAGGGGGCCTCCAAGGATGAGTCTGACCTCCTTTTCCGCCAAGGTCCCACTCGGCATTCATGCCACCGTCTCCGCTCCTCCTAAGCGGTGCGCTTTGTTTGTCTCGCTGTCTCCCATCCTAATTCTTGCTCCATTTCGAGAGACAATTCATCCGCCCGAAGCCTTCCCACAGCCACTGTTTACAAGCTTTCCCGCTGACGAGCCAAAATCGCTGGGGAAAAGAGGCAAATGGACCAAGGAAAACAGTGGGGGTTCTAAGGCGTTTTTGTCTTTAGCGGAGCCAGTTGCTCCTGGCTAAAATGCAGAGGAGTAAACAAGGGAAAGGGGGGACTTTAGGGGGGAGAATTCAAGCCCAGAGATGGGTGCCGGGCCTGGGGAATGCATCCCTACTCGTTCCCCACCCCCAGCCCCACTGCTTTTTAAAAACCTTTCTTCTCGCTGAGAAAGGCACCGAAATCAGCCTGCCTGTTGTGGGTGCTTCATCTCCGGAAGTTTTCAAGAAGAGACTGAATAGCCATTTGTCCATAGGGGCTCCTATTTGAGCTGGGGGTTGGGCTAGATGACCTCGAAGGTCACCCTTTATCAAGAGATAAAAACCCTACTCCAAATTCAAGGAAAGCTCTTCAAAGTTTCCTGCTCTGCTTGGGGGGGGGGAAAGAGACATTGTTTTTTAAGGACGCAACCTCCCATCCCATAATTGTTTAAAACCAGAAGGTGTTTTGCATTACAGACACTGTTCGATAGCTGATGATCATATCATTTATATCAGTGTTATAACTGTTATTCTGTTACTCATTTTGCTTTAGGTTGGTCAGGCTGGGATCAAGCCATCTTTAACCTTGACAAAGCAAGAGGATGGTCTGTGTTTCCATGATCCTTTTTCGTCTGAAAAGCTTGCTTGCTGGACAGGCCGCCTTTCCGCCCCTTCGTCTTATTGCATACTGGATGTAGTTCTCCGTGGGGCACCGATTCCAAAAAATGGAGGTTCCAGAACTTGGATTTGCAATCCAGGACAAACCAGAACCACCCCAGCAAGCAGATAAAAAGCTGCATATGGATACTCATGAACTGAGCCCTTCAGGTTGACCCCATTGAGGCTAAACTGTAATTCTAAACTAAAATCAATATGGGTTATGCTGGTGGAAACCTCGCTAATTCAGTTACCCCCCCCCAATAAATGCAGATCAATCATCCCAGCTTAACTTTGCCTGGATTCAGACGTTACGAAAAACAAGGGTACGTTGTGAGCTTGTTTTAAAAACCGATCCAAAGCATCCCGCGCTTTGCTTGCAACGCGGCCCCGCATCGTGGCTCGCAAACCAGGCTAAGCGATTCTCAGCCGCCGGCTAAGCCCCGGCGCGACCCGCCTGTCCCCGGTTCACACGCGTGTCCGAGCCCGGCCGGCCCACGTGTCAGGCGCCGCTCCTGCCCTTCCCCGAGCGCAAGCCCCGCCCACCCCGTCCGTTAACGCTCCACACTACGCCGCCCACGCCTTTCAAAGCTCCTTCGGTTTCGGCGCCCGCCCGCCCGCTCGCCCAGGCTCTCTGCCCGCCACCCCCGCCGGGCGATTAGCCTAAAGTGGCGATCCGCAAAATCAACGCCGGCCCGGTCGGTCGGTTTGATTTTCTTTTGTCCTGTTCCTTTCCCCCCCCCTCCTCTCTCTCTTCCCCCTCCTTCCCTCCTCCCCTCCGCTGTCTGGCGCGCGCGGCTCCTTCCGCGGCGATTGGCGCAGACCGCCGGCGGGGCGTGTCCGCATCCGGGTGCCGCGCGTGACGCGAGGGGCGGGCCGGGCGCCGGGCGGCCAATCGGCGTCGTCCACATGCCGCGGCCGCGAGAGGGGCAGCGGCGAGTCGCCTCGGATAAATTCTATTAGAGCAGCCGCTGCCGGCTCAGCCATCACCGGGCAGGGCAGCGACGCCAGCGCGGGAGGCAGGCAGGCCGGCGGCTTCGGCAGCGGCGGGCAAGACTGAGGCGGCTCCCCCCACCCCCTCAGGGCGGCCTTCGCCCCCTCCCCCACCGGCGCCCCCCGTGGCCCCCCCGTGAGGCGGCGCCCCCTCAGAGCGCCCCCCTCCGTGACGAGGGCCTTCCCTCGCGCCCCCCGTGAGGAGAAGGCGAGACCCCCCCCCCGAGAGAGCCCCGGGGCCGAGGGAGAGGGGGGCAGCCGGCGAGGCCTCCCTGAGGCGCCCCACATTTTTTTTAAGCTTCCTCCCCCCCCCGTTTTTCTTCGCCGCCGCCGCCGCCGCCTCTGCTGCAAAGGAGGAAGAGGAAGGGGGGGCCTCCGCCGCTCCTCCGCCGCCTCCCCCCGCCGCCATGGAGAACGGGCACACCAAGACGGTGGAGGAAGTGCTGGGCTACTTCGGGGTCAACGAAAGCACCGGGCTCAGCCTGGAGCAGGTCAAGAAGCAGAAGGAGCGATGGGGAGCCAACGGTAGGTGGGCAACACCCCCCCCTCCACTTCGGGGGGCAGCGGGATCTTCTCCCTCCCTCCCCCCGCATCCTCACCTTCCTCTTCCTCCTCTTGGCGATCGCCCCCCCCTCCCCACCCATCTCTCCTGACCCTGGGCAAGATGATCACCCCCCACCCCATATTCCCTTTCGCATTCACCCCCGATTCCATATCTATTTCCCCCCCTCTCTCCTCCCCACATCAATCCCCCCCCGCCCCATATCCATCTATCCCGACCCCCCCGCCCGGGAGGATGGAGACCCCCGCCCCATATCAATCCCCCCTCCCCCTATCTATGCCTCTATCCCAACCTCTCTGCCTGCCCCCCCCCCCCAATCTGGCATTTGACAGGAAAAGAGGGAGAAAGAGAAGAAGATGGCTGACTCGGCCATCGACCTCGTGGGTTCCCTTCGCTGCTGCCCCGGGCTGTGCAACGTGGAAACCAGCCGGGCACCTTCCTGGGAAGGAGAGAGAGAAAAAGCCTCCCAGTCTGCTGAGGCTTGGTGGGGGGGGAATCTCCTCTGCACTCCCTCTCCCCCTTTTCCCCCGATTTCTTCTTCCTTTTTGGCTTGGTTTGACCTTTGTTTCTCCCCTTTCCTGCCTGGCTCTGTGGCTTGGGCTTTTTCTGCTTGTCAAAAGCCAGCTCTGGGGCTTGCGAGATGGACAAGGGAGACAGCCCTACCCTGATGGGCATGGGTGGAAAAAAAAACCCTCCGCCCTGTCTCCTTCCTCTTTCAGAGGAGAAAAGGTTGGAGGTAAATGGGGAATGGTGGGAAGTGTGGAGCCGCATTAAACTACAGGGAAGAGCAGGGATGACTTGGCTCGATTGGTAACCCTTCAGAGAGAGAGAGAGTGCTGGATGCCGAAATGTTCTTGACGTAAAATGCAGGGAAGCCTGCGCCCGCCTGCCTCTCTCTGTCTGGTTGAAGGAAGCCTGCTTAACTATTGCATTGCTCATTTGCTTAGAACATCTCTTCCATTGGAGTGTTTAAAAGCCAAAAAAGCTCTTCGGTCTAGCCCAGACACCTTTATAATTCTAATGATTGTTGTTTTATTTTTCCTCCCCGCTTGACGTGGTTCCTGCAATTCTGGCATTTTAAAGAATTACCAGCTGAAGAAGGTAAGCCGGCATTTGAAGCTTTTTGTCTGTGATGCATGCTTGATTCCCCCCTCCCCCAACCGTCTGTGTCTGTGCTTGACGACTGAAGTCTGAATCTTTTTCTTGGCAGGAAAAACTTTACTTGAGCTGGTGATCGAACAGTTTGAAGATTTATTAGTTAGAATTTTGTTGCTGGCAGCATGTATATCTTTTGTAAGTATCTTCCTTGTTTTGAACTGATGACTTTGTCTTAATTGACACACAGGGTTCCTGGATTGCTAGTGAGAGTTTGAAAATGATTTTTGGGAGAAGTTATTCTATCTTGTCATTGGCTTGAAATAAGTGCTTTGCTTTTGCAACAGAGTTTAAGCAGCTTGCACCCCAACTCTTGAGCAGTTTCTTGTTACAAATACAATGTCAAGGGAATGATTGAATGAGAACACACAGCAGTTTAAGTCAGACATACTTGAATATTGTGAATAGTCATGACTGTCTCTGTACTTGAAGTAGGTTCTTGCCTTTTAACCTTGGCCCCAGCCAGAAGGTGAACTGGTATAGGGTGGCTGATTTTTTAGCGGTAGTTGATTGTTATGAAACTCACCGAGACGGCTGGAAGTCTTTTTTTGGATGCAATGCAAACTGTAAATAGAATTTGTATGGGGGGAATATGCCAGTTGCCTTCTCTTGCTGATAATAGCAAGGTGACAGTTGTTGCTCTTGACAGTGACAAGAATGATGACAGCAATGATGGCACCATTGTTGACCAAATTTGGTCACTGACCTTTGGGAAGCCTCTGGTAAAGTAAACTCTTTGCTCCCTGGACAGAATGGGGCAGGATGAGGGCTGTGAAATCGAGTCGGAATTTTAAAATAATGTGTAAAAGGATAGGGTCACGTTGCCAGGTGCCAAGCATCTGTTTGGAGAAGGGTGGGAGATGGGGAGAAAAATGCATTGTAAGTGGGGTACAACTTTGGTGAAAAGAGAAGCTTCAGGTATCCAGGTTGGCATGCAGAAATTGTACATGAAACTCCTGTCCCTGCTTTTAATTCAGCGATTATTGATACATAGGGTAGTTTTCTGAGTCTCTGTCTTCAAAGAGATGTTAAAAATGAAAATAAACGGTGCACCCTTGACTTAACTGGAGTGCAGAACCAGGAATATGATTTAAAAATATACAAGTGAAAGAAGGATCGCCCCCTTGAACCATCAGAATGTATAGTTGCTGATTCTGAACCAGTGAGAGTTTCCAGTTTCATGCCATTGACTCACCCGGCTGGGAGAATAGGTTTTTTGGCAGAGATTTTCTTCTCTGCAGCAACAAGTCCTTTAGTCATTCTGTTTCAGCTTTTTCCTGGTGACTTTTGGCAGATGAATGTTTTATTGACAGGTAGTGGCTGGTGCGTGATGAGATCCACTTATTTTGAAGGTCGCCCATTGGTGTGCTAGACTGCTAGGATGCCCATTCACTTTCTTTCATTTAAAACAATGATATATAAACAGCTGAGCCCTAGATTTGTTCCATAAGACTCAGTTAAGGAGAGAAATAGATGTAGAGTGCTGGTTTTGCAGTTAAATAACCTATTGATTATGGTAGACTTTCTGCAGGAAAATTGTTGGTGTACCAAAAGTTTCAATGTTGCCTCCTCACACTAAAATTCTACACATAACCATGAGATTGGGCAATTTCTATATACAAAAAATGTCAAGCTTGAAGATGATTTGAAATTCCCAGCCCAGAATGCTACTCTTGTTACCATGACATGAATTAGCCTTTGCCTGGAGAACGATTTCTAAAACATTTTCTGTAGAGTAGTGAGTATTTCTTTGTGGCATGTTGTGCTATTTTAGTTTAATTTTACAGCGGTAAATAACCTTCCATTCTTTGCAGTCCTTGCATTCCTTTACTTTTAATAGGTATCGTTACAATGTTGGGTTAAATTTGTTGACCCAATTTGTATTTGGTTGTTCCACTGTTCATCCACTGTAAGTTGTACAGTGCTTCCAAACTTAATATCCTTCTGCTTCCTTGATTTTGATGACAACACAAACTTTGATTCTAAGCAGGCATGCTGGTACCCACAGCCCAATGTCCCTACTTTGATGTGCCTTCGGTTTTACTGACTGTGATGCTTTAATGGAAATTTCTGACTTGCTGCTGTTGTAACAGGTTTTTTTTCTTGGTTTTATGGCATTTTTAGAAGAGCAATAGGCCAGGGATTCCTATACAGGAACATTGCTAAATTAAACCATGGTTGGAGACTCCTTGATTTGAGAATACTTTTTCCTGGCAAAATGGGACAACCAGTAACCTTAATCATAATGAGTCAAAATTCCGAGATGATGTCTGAAGTGTCCTATTTAGTGCTGAAAGAATTGTGGGAACAACGTACTAAAATGCCCTAATTGTTGCCTTCTTGACGATTTCTAATGAGATGTTAGAACAGAATGTCATTAATTTAGAAAAAGCACAACAATCACATGCCTCCTTGGACTCGAAAAATGATCCCTTTCTAAGGCTATTCTGGATCAGAAAATTGTGGTTGTCTGTATATGACTATAAGACTCTTGTCTTCTATCCTTCTGAGGTTGGTAAAATGAGGACCCAGATTGTTGGTAGCAACGTGCTGACTCTGTAAATCACCTAGAGAGGGCTGTAAAGCACTATGAAACGGTATATAAGGATAAGTGTTATTGCTATATGCCTGTAGGAGATGTTCAGATGACTTCCAGTGTTGGGAAGACCTTCCCTTCCTTTAGACTTTGCAGTTCTGGCCTCGTTTTGTGGGTGCAGAGAGAAGGACGAGTCATTGCTGGAACAAAAATTGGCTCGCTGTGCTTCAAAGTGTGGCGGTTATATCGGCAAGGCCAGAACAGCCCCTAGTCCCTACAATTGTTCTTCTGAGGCTGAGGAATAACAGATGCAACACAGATAAGGTTCACTTATTGGAATATGAGAGATCATTTTACTCGTCCACAGAAATAGTTGAATAAGTGTTAACTTCACGAGAAGCGTCTAGACACGTTGTTCTACCTTTGGCATTCTCTCTTTTCTCTGGACTGATATTCAACCACCCCCATGTAGCAGATCATACTTGTGACTCCAGCAAACAATCATGTTAGTAGCAGGACAACAGGCTGGCAAGAGTAAATTCAGTGAAACTTGTTCCCAGATAGGCGTGCAGGGGGATTTTAATCATAAAACATTCAGCCAGATGGTTATATAATGTATATACCAAGTACTGAAGCCAAGTTCAGATAACCTTTACTATCTTTCTATTGAAAGTGAATTTAACGAAGGTGGACTTCAATTCCCAAAATTCCCCAGCCAGCATGGCTGGCTGGGGAATCCTGGGAATTGAAGTCCATGCATCTTAAAATGGCCAAGGTTGAGCAACATTACTTCAAAGGAAATTGCAATGGGAAGGAAAGGAACATTTGCAAAGCAGAAATTCAGTTGCGCAACATGAACATTTCAACCCAAAAGAACATGACATAAACCTCACTATAAAAACCGATAGGAAATATTAGTAGAAGTTGCTCCTTGCTTAAAAAGATCATTTCTAATTGTGTTCCCTAGCAACTGGTATGCATGTTCCCATCAATCTTGCCCCCCCCCCAAAAGCATGATTATTTTATTCCCTTAATTTATTCCCTGCCTTTTAAGCCCAAAAAAGATGCCCTGAAGTATGGCTGCTGCTATTCCCCATCAGCAGGACTACATGAGAAACGTAGCCTACTTTGAGCAATCTTCGTAAAAGGTTTGAGCTTCTTGTGTCCTTGAGTGAGTTCAGACAAGCGAGAAAATAAGCCATTAAACCCATCTTTTAGCCTAATGCTAATCAGAAACGTGAGAATTTAGGTCCTTGCGCTGTTAGTCAAGCTCAGTTATAATGGATTTTTTCCCCCAGGGCTGCAAATTGCAGACCTCTTAGAATTTGCATAGCCTTTAAACGGTGCGTAGCCTTGGCTGTTTTATTTCAAAGATGTTCTCTACATCTAATAGTTTGGCATTATAGCAAACTGTTCCCACCATTTCCTTCTGTTAACAGTTTTATCTTTCTCTAACACTTGTTAGGGAGAGTTGACTCATAAGAACATGGGAATAACTTAGACTGATGGCTGGCAATCCCCCTGAAGGGTTTGTATGGAATAATTTGTCAGGATTATTCTAGGAAATATTTCACTTGTTTAATTTTAAGTGAAATATGGCAAAGTCGGTAAGCTCCTGAGGGAGCCAGATGGTCCTGCAGAGAATATGAAAAGAGGACAATGTTAACATTTAGTAAGCTCCTCCAAATTCATCAAACAGTAGCAAAACAAGCAGGGAAGTAATAGAGAAAAACTATCTTTAATGACTCCTCTTTAATGAAATGAAGTAAGAACAGATGTTCCCCTTGGCTTTTGCTAAATACCATTAGACATCCTGTCTCTGTGGATTGCATAACAGCATTTAGTCCCTTAAAGTTACCTGCAAGGTAACTCAACATTATACATGTATATATATAGTGCTTAAAGTTGGCTTCATTGAGCTCAGTAGTTTTTTTCAAAATTGTAACTCTTTGCCTGCTTACCTGGGAAGACCTTTTCCTTTACTTGTTGTAGCTGCATTTTGAAGAGAAGGGGAAGCTGCAGTTGGTGTAAATTTGTATATTGGAGGCAGAATGAGAGGGCAGTCAACACTTATAAGCTACGTGAAAAACTCAAAATGTAGCTGAGTACGGAGGTTCAGGCAAAGAAAACTCAGAGAAGGTAATTGTCCTTGAAAATGCTGGCTCCGAGTCCATTGCAGTGTCAGATCAGTATGGCATTCTCTGGCTTGGTAGATTTCTGCTTAAAACCGGAATTTGGTGTTGCTGGTGACCTGCAAAATTCATTTGTGGCTTCAGTTTACAGTACATATAGATCCTGGAGTTTGCTGACGCTGAAATATGTTGGCATACATAATGATACAGTATCCTGATGTATGATTGTAATTTCGAAAACTGACGTCCCTCCCCTTCGCCATATGCTTCGTAGACTTGATTGTTAAATGGCTTTGACCTTTTTGCATAACCAGTAACCACACTGGAAGGCAAAGCCTCCATTCTCTTGCATTTCAGCTTGTGGCGTTGCCTGATCTTACCCATTTCAAAGTGACAGAGTTAGATAAGTCTGATCCGTGCTTTGGAGTGGGGGGGGGGGAATGATTTTCCTAAACCAAAAATCAAAAGAAAAGCATGCATATTATTTATCCCTGGGATATATTGCCAGTACAGATTATGCAGTAGAAGAGAAAAATCAGTTTTTTCAGCGTTGTAAATTCAAGAACTAATATTCAGTTATTGACTATCTGCATCAAAGTTTCATCAACGGAGTTTCGTCAAAGTTGCTGCACCCATTTTTATAGAACTTGGGGTCAAATTTGGCAGGTAAATTCTCCTGTGGTGCTCTCCTGTTGCTTCAGTCTGGGTCAAGACAGGACAGCTGATTTTAAAAAGTTCAGCACGTGCCTTTTGCCTGCTCTGCAGGGATCTGTGTCCTTGGTGCAAAACTGGAAATGTCAAGAAGCAAATTCAAATTTTTTTACCTTACAGCCCAAGTAAGAAAAAACTGGTGTTTCCATTCACACATTTTGCTGAACTGTAACCTGATGTTTAGTTTGGACTTGGTGCACTTCGTAAATCAGAGATATGGCTCATTATGTTGTATAAATTCAGCCAGCTTTGTGTTGAGCCAGGGCACCGTGTTCCATTATATCAAACAGAAAAACCAGAAAATCTAATTTTTTTTCTACCATTTTACCATTTTTTTTTAAGTCATCCAGGCTCTAGATTTTACTCCTTTTCCCGGTTTCCTTTCATCTGGAAACCCACCAAGTCGCCCTTAAGGAAAAGCTGTAGAGAAGCTGCTCTGAATTTTTTCCCCCTCCATTGCTTCTTTTGTGGCCTTCTTTCTTTAAAAGAGATCTGAACAATGACTTGCTGCTGACTTCCAAAGGCCGATTTCAGCATTCTTCAAGTCCGTTGCTTTGTACAGTACTTCCTGTTGCTCAATATATCCCACATAATATTAGTCCTTTTCTTCATGAATCATTGCAGGGTTTGATGCAAGCTACCAAGTCACTTTCGGTTACTCATAGGCCTAAATTGGCATTATGCGAGTCAATTTCGGTCATCACCCCATGTGCCTTTTTCAGTAACATGATCCTTGGAATTAGAAAGTTTTATGGGGGGGGGGAGAGAGAATACATGGCATATACATTCTTTTTCTTAACAGTTAATTCTTAATGTTGAATGACACAGACGGGAGGCGGGAAAATATTCCAGAATCCTTAATTTTCAGCCTAGTATTTAAAAAAAAGGAGGTATAGGATTTCCAAAGTCCTTTGATCAGTGCTTTGTTCTAAGAGGAACATGATTAGCTTCTTTTTGATTTTTGAAACAATCATTTTACGAAGCTGTAATGGAGCTTGTGGAAATATTGACATGTTGTCAGAACAATGAGCTAGCTTCAGAGAGGTGTCCCAGATTAAAGGACTTCTTCCAGAGCTTTTAACATTGTCTTCTGAGATGTACGTGTTTTAGGATGCGTTCCAAGATACGCAAAGCCTCAGTAAAGTTGGCTTGGTTATGACTTAGACTGCTGCGTGTCCTCAACCAATTTGCTTCATACAAAATACATTCTGCTTAAGTAAACCATTACTTAGTATGATGGGTAGTTCTTTTGTTGTAAATCAGAAAAAAAAATGCAAGCGAACTTTGAGTCCTGCTGCAGGAGAATCCCATAGTAATGGTTTCTGGGATCCTTTAGCCTTAATTATTAATTTTCTTCGGCTTTAGATGTACTTCATTCTTGATTTGGGGACAGTGAAGCTGCTGTTACTAGAAAATGATGGGATTAGTTACTGCAAGTAAGCTTGATTGAACCAAGTACAGTTAGATGGAATATCACTGTAAAATATACCATCAAATGATGGTTTCCTAGATGATCCCAAACAAAGGATTTGATTGCTTAGCACATGTTGTGAACCAGACAAAAACCGCTTCCCTGTAGATCTTGATGAGCCTTGAAAGGGAACAGAATCCCTCACCATCAGGAGCACTCAAGATCTCGGAAGCCAGCCAGCCAGCCTGAAATTCAAATAAAAAGGAGGTCTTGGTTCTATTTGAAGACTCTTAGCTGCTGGAAATGGTCCTGGAGTGAGAAGCAGACCGTAATGATAACAAAGATCAACTGATAGATCAAATCTGTCTGCCATTCAATTCTTGGCAAGCTGACCAAGCATAAAAAAGCTAGTGGAGAAGAACATTTGCGCTCTGTTAAAGCAACTGATGCTTTTATCTTTAAGTAACCCATAGGAATAATGTCTCTTGATTTTGAAGAGGAGTCCTTAGGTTGACACGTAGGCTATCCTCAGGAAGGGGTGATTTATTAACAAGGAATGCAGTGGTAATGTTCCTGTTGGGTTATTCTAACCCAAACGGGATTTATTTACAGCTTAATTTATTTTGAAAACAAAAGCAACAGGCCTAATCTGATCCACAAATTAGTTTAAAAGCAGCAAGCTTCTTGAAAAGCACAGGTGAGGCAATTACTTCCTTGTAATAGAATTTGCTTTTCAGGTGTGCTTAAGTGAGTCAGCGGACATTTTGAAATTATGCAATCAATCTTGAAAATTACCTATGGAATATATTTTGGGCTGAAATTTAAGTTGACACATAGCAAATGCCACCGAATCATATCTGTAACTTCACCAAGTTTCTAATCTCTTGCAGGTGTTGGCTTGGTTTGAAGAAGGAGAAGAAACAGTCACAGCCTTTGTAGAACCTTTTGTAATCTTACTCATATTAGTTGCTAATGCAATTGTGGGCGTGTGGCAGGTAAGCAAAGACGTGCTCGGAAAAGTCGTTGCAACGTGTGTGCTTTTTTCGACAGATTGTTTTAAGTCGCTTAGAGTCACCATTATCATGTTTATTAAGAAAATTGAAAGTGGAAACTAGCTCTGAAATTAGGTAAACCTTTTCATTCTTAAGATAGTTGCTGAATGTTATAAAGATAAGACAGGACCCAACTAGCCATGTACTTAATTCAGTCCAGCAAAGAGACTTCGGACTTTTAATGCTTAACCATCAACTTGTGTCTTTCCTTAGTAAAGTAGTGATGAATTCCACTCTCTGTCAGAGAAAGGGACTGAAGAATATCACTGATAGAAATTAAGGTTATGTGGATTAGGTTATAGGTTCAATCTATGAAAACAGAGAGCTGCCAAATAATTTAATTTATTTGGTAAATGTTCTGTATATCCAGTAAAGGACACCCCGTGCAATTTACCTGAGCCCACTGCATCCACCAAAATATATCCTTATATCAGGGCACAGCCCTTGTTTACCTTCTATTCCTTACTCAAATTTTCCATGAGAGAATATCAAAACGCGTTATGAGGATAATATATTAGAGCAGCATTTCTCAACCTTGGCAACTCTAAAACATGTGGACTTTTAATTCCCAGAATTCCCCAGCCTGCAGCCTGGGTTGATCTCTGCTTTCCTTTTCATCAGGGCAGGTGGGTCTGGCTTGTTGCCAACAGTACTTTGGGCTCTGTTTTGTGGGACATGACAGTTCAATACTGTGGTTGGGTCCTGTCACTCAGTTATACAGCACGGAATATTAATAGCTTGCTTCCTGGATACGAGTGACGTTTCTGGCATGAATATACCTTGTTTTTTCTTTTTCATCTTGGTCATATGAGAAAGCCATAATTTGCCCCTAATTCATCTTTCATAGCAGGGTAGTGTTACCATAGGAACTGGGAGGATGGCATCTAGGATGGTATGGGAGTTGGAACAGAGAGGAAGTTTTAAAAGGATGAAAAGAATAAAAAAAACAAAAACCAAAGCCCAATACTGCCCATTAAATTAACGATTTAGAATTTAGAGAGATTTAATTTACAGTTGACGCATTGGAATAGCTGAAAGTTGAGAGGCTTTCCTGTTAGATTTACGTCTATTAAAAAAGACAAATTATTGCCTACCTGCCCTCAGTGCTGATATGAACACTGCCTTTAAAAGCAAGAAAAATTGTTGAGCTGAGTGAAGAATTTTTCCGGCACTCAGATGAAAATGTAGTTGTTATGATAGAACAATGCTATAAAAAGCTTTAATATTCACTAATCGTCTGTCTGCTAACGTTGGTGACAGTTTAACGTTTCTTGCTTCTGAAAATGGAAGGGGTGACTTAAAAATGTATTTCTTAGCTGAAAAGTAAGAGATTGAAACTGCCTTCTCCTGATTACTCTTCTTAGTCTTTATCTCAAATACCTGCAAACATACATTCCTTTTACATGGACCTATTTTCCACTTAATTTGGATTCCAGCGGTCCTGCCTCTCCACATGTACAGCAAAAACCACAGTCAGATGTTTCTCATTTGACTGCTGGACTTTTCACGACAAACTAATAATTTAGCAAGATTTTAGCCATAAGGTACAGTTGTATTGGCTCAAAGCCCATGGGCTTTTTCTAAAAAAAAATTGAGGAAACGCTCATGAGGCGCATTTCAAGGTTCTGGTCTAAGATCCCAATCCTACTACCGTGTTGTGTTGATAGCAGGTACTTTGTTAGCAAGTCATGAATCTGAAATGTGTTGAAGTTGTGGGAACAGTGTTGGAACAGTGAACACACTCTGCCAAACCAGGGCCAAATGCTGTGGGAGAGAAAGTATAAAGGAACTTAATTACAAAGTTGTAACTCTTGAGTTGTCAGATTTATCAGTTACCTTTTTAGTCAAGAAGTACACTTTGGATCAGAGTTATTTTAAGAGAGATAAGAATCTGCAGTTAAAAGGCATCTTGGCTGTTGGATTATCTCCTTTTTTTTTTTTTTTTGCTTTATGCACACCAAAATTGCGCATTTAGGCTTTATTTGACAGTGAAATTTTGCAGGCTGCTCCCTCAGCTTAGCTGCAGCAAGACGTATGCCTCCCTCTCTGCCAGCGGATGATCCTAGATTATTTATGAAACGGCAAACTTGGAGGCCAGCTGCTCACCGCAGTAGTTAAAAAAATGTAGAACTACTGAACCCCTGCTGTTGATCCTGCGTTTTTTTAGGAGCGAAATGCTGAAAATGCCATTGAAGCTCTTAAGGAATATGAACCTGAAATGGGAAAAGTTTATCGACAAGACAGAAAAAGTGTACAAAGGATAAAAGCGAGAGACCTCGTCCCCGGTGACATCGTGGAAGTAGCTGGTGAGAACTTTTATTTACTGCATAATAATGGATTTCAATTGCTTACTACATAATAATGGGTTTTCAAATGCTTTTTTTTTTTTTTTTTTGGTATATTTGTGTATTGGGGAGGGGGGCTTCTGTATTTTGAGGTACCATTGACCCTGAATTCTTGACGGGCAGTTAAAGCTTAGTAAAGCAAGCAGGAGAAAACAAAAGCTGTTCTTTTGCTGCATAGGGTTCCCTTCTTTTAGGGCCACCCCCTCTTCCTTCTCTCAGATTCTCAATCATTTAGGTCACGGTTGTCCCAAAAATGCTTTTTCCTAAAGGCGGTTTCTTTTTTCCTTGAAAACATTTCGATTCTCGTCCAAGAAGCTTCTTCAGCTCTTTAGTCCAGAACTAACGTATTGCAGAATTGTTGGCAAAAGAAGGGCTCACAGTGGCGTTCAGCTCTTCTGTGAAGACTCCAGACCAGGGTGGCTAGGAGACCTCTGCTGCCCCTGGAGGCCTGATAGGCACTCCCCTCCCCAGTTTCCTAGGCCCATCCTCTCCCGGCCCATCCCAGTGGCTGCCTTGGATGTGGCCGACTGCCATGGTCACTTGGCACATCTCGTATGTAGTACAGCCAGTGGAGAGTACTGGTTATGTCACTTAAAAAAAAAACCTCTATGCATCCGAAAAAGGAGGTAATGGAAAGCCATGACTTCTTCTAGAAAGAGCAGGCATTAGATTAAAGGAGGGGGTTTCTTTCCAAGGCCGGTGAAGGAGCGAAGGCTGCCTTCTAGCTAAGAAAAGTGGACGTAGATGTTTCGTGTCCAGTCCATCCTGCAGTGGCCAGAGCAGTTCTCTGCAGGACATCCAGCCGCCAGTCCGCCTAGCCACGAACGTAAAGCGTAGCTCTTGCAGCGAACGCAGGCAACGGCAACCGAGCTAAAATTTCACGGTGGTGGTGGAAGGCAGGGAACAGACACCGTGTTCCATAGCTGATGTCAAGACTCCCGAGGTGTGAAAGACGGTGGGCATGCCTCTGTCATAAGCCTAAGCGTGTTGGATGGCCTTTGACATGGTGTCTGCCAACAAAGGACCATGTAGGGAAGCAACAAAGCCCTCGGTCGGGGGAAGCGTATCTGATGGTGGAATTTTAGGCAGTGTGCCAGGGACATTTGCGTGTCCGCACAAAAGCTCCTCGCTATTGACCAGCATAAAAGAACCAGGTGGCCCCACCGGTCAGTGGGGCCTAAGGGCCAGGGATCCTTCAGGAGGCTTTCTGCAGGAGCAGAGGGGCTGACCCTAAAGTCGGTTGCATAGCCAATAGACAGATTGCCAAAAATGCTCTTTGGAGGGGAGCAGGAAATTGACAGCGATTTGAGGCTCTGTTATGGTCGTTAAGTGGAGAACTTCCTGTAGAGGCCAGAACTGCATGTCAGTTCCTTCTTCAAGGAAAAAGTGGCATCTTGCCTCGTGACAAAATCACGACGCACCACCAGGTCGAGCTGGGCTCTCTTAAATTTTCTCCTTTGGTGCCCTGATTCCCGGCAATCGCCGGAGAAACCCGTTCGGTTATAAAGGAAGAGGTGCACGCTGATGCATCAGTTGCCTAGGATTCGAAAGCTTTTGGTCTCGGCAGTCAGAACGATGAAGGCACACGCGAGAGACGTCCTCGTCACGTTAGGGATTGTTTGGCTTCTGGGAAAGCGTCTGGCTCTCCACGATCTACCAAAATGGGACTTGTGATAGGCCACCTTGTCTAAGAAGTGGAGCAATTGGAGGGGAGGTTTAATGGAAGCAATTTGGTCTTGCCTGGAGCTCCCTGAGTCTCTTGCAAAGGAGAACTGCATAGTGGGGTGACAAGCACCTTCCGAGTTTTTTGTAGGATTCGTAATGGAGTTTAGGAACCAAGGGCCACCCCGACACATTTGGATGACTTTCACGCCCCCCCCCCTCCCTTCGGTGGTTATTCTGAAAGCTCTGAGTGACTAACCTGACATTCCAAGCTACAATGTGGTTCTTTTGCTTTGGTTTTGCCATGAAGGCTTAGTAGGACCTGATGGCGGCTTCTTTAGCAAATCATGGTTAAACTTAACATATTTCATGCATTTGAGCCAACCTTTATCCTGAATAAATTGTAGAAGACGGTTTATAGCTTGACCATGGGGACTGCTTTAATTTAGTGGCTTGCCAAATGCTGTACATATTTCAGTTCAGTGGAACAACGTAGTAGAGTAAAGCTCTATTGATTGTAAATTGACAGTAGCCTTAATTCTGGGCACTCCGTTGTAAACGGGCATCAATTCTGTACAACTGCTTGTAACGTTGCAGAGAATATTGGGAGCTCATATTTTTTTCTTACTGTTCCTGTTTAGTGTCAGCCTAAATCCCTACCAGGTACTGAAACAATATAGATTTATTTAAGAGAACTAGTTGGAAAAGCTGGGCTATATGGGGTGTGCTTGCTTTCAGCATGACTTGACTCTCTTCTAATCTCCCTGAGTCACAATGTCAAACAGCTTTTTGTGGGTAGGAAATATGTAAATACATTTACACAGAGCTTTCATCCTGCTTTGATGCGGATAGTAGTCTTAAGTGAAGTAGTTCAAAGCAAAATAAATCACAGGCTCATGCTGCAACCTGCTAAAACCTCTCAAATGGCCCAGAGTTCAAACCAGGGCAGAGCATTTATTTTCAGAATTATTTATAAAAGGGTTGTTGCATTTGACCTCTTGCCACGTGGGTCCGTTTCCCCCCTGTGAGTTATTGAAGTATAAAGCCTGAAGAATGCGAGGCCTGTTACTCTCATGCTTTGAATTCGCAGAATGGTTGCGATCTTATAACCTTAGTAGAACTCAAGAGGAATTTATTATTGGAACAAAAGGTACCGGACAGAATTTTTGAACATCAAGATAATTTGCTGCCGATATTCCATTCTGCTCTGGCAAATACACTTATTCGGCCTACAGAAGCTTTTTTGAAATGAGGCAGTGAGAACC